TGTGTATATGTTGTGTGTGTCTATGGACTAATCAGTACTGGGTGGGTGATTTAGTTGACATGATGCCACCCGCCTTCACTTACTATAACTATACCTGGTACGCACTCAAGGGAGGCGTCGACTTGGGTCTGTTATGTTTAAAATAGTAACAGAAACAGCATATTTTATAGGCTAACGTCGAGCAGTTACACCACAGCGGCTCCCAAGAGACTTGGATAGAAATTCAAAATAAATAGCAATCTAGTGGTAGAAACTATTTTGGACATAAAAACTCGTTGAGAATTTTATTGCTCGGAACATTGCCACCAAGCAATAAAGTGGCTCTTACATGAGCACAGCATTCTGCAATATTCACGAAGCCTGATAAATAGATAGTTAGATCTATTTTATTCCACCATGGTGTGTTTTCTCCAGATGGCTTGGTCTTTCTCCAAAGAACTGCTAGCCACTTGTTGAGACTGTACCCTGAACACAGACTCTGAAGCGTCGATCTTCAGAGATAAATTAATAACTGCACTTGTGAACAGAACGAAGCGTCCGAAGAATGACAATCATTTTGATATCCCTTTTATTCATTTCATTCTGAAAGTAAAATGTGTGTCTTCCGGCGGGATTTAGACATTATAGAAATGTCCTCATAGTAGCCGCTGGACCATGGAATACCACAAGAGGCTTTCTCTATTGGACCGAGACAGCAGAAATAATAGTTATCCTAATAAAACGAGAGAGCAAGCAACAAGCAAACTGTGCGAACGACTCACAACTCACCTAGTCTTGGCACTCACTTGTACCGATAGGAAACCAGAAATGACTTTCATAGCGGCGATTCCTCCTTCTATGTGGATGTGAGAAGCACGGCAAAATCAATATCAAATGTTAAATCCTACATTAAATTTTAATTATATTATTATATAACCATAGAGGCGTGGCGTGCTTCAATGTGTTGTAACCATGATTAGGCAACAACAACAAACTGTCAGCGCATGGCGCAATCACACAGAGACTCAGACTCTCACTCACCGAAGGAGAGAAAGAGAGACGGAGGGACGGACAGGAAAACAGAAAACTGCAAATGAATACACCTACAAAAAATATCCGTCATCTTATCGAAAATTCGAACCTGGGTCTTTCGCTTGAAAGGTCACACTATAACCACTCCACCAGCTTCTCTAAGTAATACACATAGCCATATATAGGCATGAATACACACAGATAGCAACGCTTACTTCCATTATATTTGTATATATATATATATATATATATATATATATATATATATATATATATATATATATATATATATATATATGTGTGTGTGTGTGTGTTTCTTGATAGGGCAAACCTGCCTAGCATACGCACGGTACTGAAGAATTATCAGCTGCGTTGGGATGGTGGCCTTAGCGCTTTTAGCAGAGAAGCCCCATTTTTGCAGGATGATTGCTCGAAGGCCAACTTCTCCCATACCGAAACAGTAAGCTATGGTAGGTATTATACCTTCCATATACATGAACTTCCACGGTATGTTCTAATTAATTCGTATTATCTTTCGCCATTATCATCTTCATAATCATCATTATTTTCTTCTTCTCAAGGTGGCGACAGTCAGTTTCAAAGTAGCAAGGAATAAGATTCTAACGGTTCTAGAGAAACCAGTGAAGAGTCTCAGTGGCGTCTACGATTCCAAGTTATCCGATAGAGCGGTGATTCGGCGCATACATGAGTCCCTGGCAAACAGGTCTGCGTGCAATCGAGCAATATTCAAAGTTCAAGGTGTGGTGCCTCAAGTTTATGTTGATCCCAAAGCTCCCCTGGCCGCTGCTAGTTTACGAAGTCAGCATGACAGCAGTGGAGGCGATGGAGAAAAAAATCAACACCACCCAAGGAAGTAGCTTGCAGCTCTGCCTTGTCTGACCGACGTGGCTCTGTATTGTAAACATAATCTGCCTGGGAAGCACTAGAGTTGAAAGAGGTCATGGGGTACACATAAACTGACAAACATGACCTAGGGCAGGGGAAAGTCACTTAGTGGTCAAAAGCCTCAGCGAAAGAACGCAGAGAAATAGATCAGATCCGGAATACCAAAATCGAGACTCGGATCTAAAAAGCAGCCTAGCAATCTCAGCAAAGTCGCTGGATCGGCCTCGAGAGCGCCTTACCAAGAACACTGTCATGGGGTGAGATCTGGCGAATAGCCCCGTTGTGAGTGAGCTTTGAAATCAGATCTGCATACGACGTATTACCCTTCGGCGCCAAAATGCTGAAATAGCATGCGACCACCGACTCGACATGCACCCTCTACAGAGTGAAGCAAACCCTCCAGCAGGAAAGCCCTAGGCCAGGGACGGCACACATGGCGCCGCAACAAAGTCCTAAAGGAGCTAGCGGACACTATGGACCAGGCCAGGATGAGGATCAAAGCGAGGGATAGTCCTACAGTTACCCCCATGTACTTCCCCAAGGCTAGGCAGATTTTTAAAGGTGAATTTAACAGGGTGGATACTTGACTGTGCGAGGGGCTGGTAACTTTCTGTCCACCTGACTGGTTTCGAGAGGTACCCAGAGTTAATCCGGAAGACCGGCGTAAGACCTGACAAAGCCCTACACTGCGGAGAAACGTCAGCTCATCCTGATTTAGCTGACCGGGCTGTATGAGTCGCGAATGGACGAAAATCACATCTACAAGCTCGAGGAGCACTGTGATCTCGCTGCTGATCTGAGGAGAGACGAAGCATACACAGTAAAAATTTTCGCCGTTGAGGTAGGCGCAAAAGATCTTGTCTCCACATCCACCTTCAATGTACTAAAGCGGTCACATCCGATTTGAGGCACGTTGTGTCTCCGGATGCTTTATCCCTTGTTTTGCAGTCTTTTTGAGGTTAAACGTCACTCATTTATTAATATTATATTATATTATATTTTTATTTATTGTTATTATTACAATTATTTCGTTATTTCCTTCTTATTTTGCTTTACGTATAGAATTACTGTACTCAGTTTTCATATGTTCAGTTTTATTTTTCAAGACCATCTCATGCTTCCAGTAAGCTCTTAAAGCGAAAAGGTTTTTTTCTTACTCTGTCATAAATGTGCATATGTGCGATCCGTTTATCCTCTTCAGGCTGCTCCCTAAAAAGTTTGAGACCCTGAGATCATAAGCTCTCAGTCTTGATGGCAAACCAATCGGGCCTGAAAGTTTGCCACCGTGCAACTACAAAATTTCATTGATGATGGCTAAGGCCACCTTAACAGCATCATGGTTCCCCAGACAAACCAGTATGTTGGGGTCCTTACGTCAGTCACTCAAAAGAAATAAATGCAAATGGTCGATAATATTAACAATTATTTTATTGGCACTGAAGCAAAAATGGTATTAAAACACAAACAAAAATTAGATGGCACGATGTGACATCACTGCAAACTTCTCAGTATAACAATCATTTGCGGTATTTATTTTCACATAATTGCTTTATAACTGGCTTGAAGTCAGTTGTCTTCAGGATCTCATATTACATGCATATGAGTAGAAGTCAGTTAAAACGGTGCTGTCCCATGGTTCAACAAACAGCATTTATTTTTAAAAAAAGTATTTGAAAAAAATTCCCTGTTGAATTCGTTACCATCGTGCACATGAAGACTGTAGAAAGCAAGCGACAAGACCCTTTTTGACAAGACACGTCAACATAAGTATATTAAATATTAAATGTATAATTACCTCACTTGCACAATCGTTCTGCTAATAAGCAAGTGAAGGTTATGGACAGGAATTGTCAAGGATTCTAAAGGTTTCATTTTCAGTCTATTCTAACTATGCGCAATATCTTGTCTCCAGACAATCATGTGATGGTTCTAGAAACAGATGTGTTACAGTTTCCCTGCACTTGTACCTGGTACCCGTTTAGAGCGTGTCGACCTAGAAGCAAATATCGCTTGTGAAAACAAGTCCGGCTCCGTCAGAACATGAACCCACGATCTTCGGATCTGCAAGCGAGCGTGTAGCCACTACACCACGGCGTCTCTAACCCAAGTTGTGGCTATTCAAAAAATGTAAAGCAGGGTATGCTACTCAACTATTTCTAACCTGATAGATTCTTATTACGCCCCTTGGAAATTAGGCTAACAGTAGTTATTGAGTCTTGTATTTCACCCATCTGTAATGAAATTGTAACAGCTGATTGAAGATGTACTACAGAGAATATTCTTTTTCTTTGCGTTTGGTTTCCTATGCTACGGTCAGACTATCAGGTGGGTTGCTTCTATGAACTCGCCTCAGCTGCAGGTCCTTCGTGGTTTGCCAAAGCTTGCTGTGCGCACTTTGCTCTTGAGGCCAGGTTTGGTACACTGTGCAGACTGTACTGTCTTTATCTTTTGACATGTGGTGGCTGAGCCGGCAATGTTCTGTTCATAGACGGAAATTTGTTGTATGTAGCATTCCGTTGAGTCTACTGATGGGGTCTTGTGGATATTTAATGTTGGTTTGTTTTCTCCACAAATGTGTGTATTTCCCCTTGATTAGTGTTTTGATTTCTATGACAATGAATGCGTGTGTTGTTTCTCCATTGCTTCATTGTTTTGCTAATCTGTCCGGTTTACAGAGAGTAAGAGCATCATAAGCCCAGCAAAAGTAGCTTTACAAAATATCGTGGGGGGGGGGGGAAGGGGGTGGGGGGGGGGGGTACATATGTATACAATAAGTCTTTCTCGTTTAACAAAAGAGAACACTATATATTAAAAAAAAAAACTTACAACAATCCGGTGCTGCTGTATGTCTTTGAATTATATATTACAACAACAACAACAACAACAAAAATATCGGTGGTTGTGGAAACGTGGTTTCTGAGACACTTAAGCAGACAGCCAGGGTAATTAAAAAAAAAAATACTGCTTAGAAATAATCACTGAAATTAGAAAACTGAATACGAAAGATTATTCTACTGTCTTTAATACGTCAAAAGATTTTAGGAAGGTATACCAGCAAGGGTACATTGTTATCTTCAGCTCTGTTATATCCGGATGTTCTTTTTCTTCTGGTACTTTCTGTGTGCGCAATACAAGACCGTCTCAATCAGCACCTCGACTATTTCCATGGCAGTTAACAAAGAGAACCCCAATCCTAGCCCCAGAAGCCCACCAATAGTTCCTAGTAGCAAGTTCCAGTCGTACTTCGCCTGTGTGGTGAACTCTTTAAACTCCAAACTTTCCAAAAAGATTTCAATCCTCAGAAAGTTGGAGTGGATAAACCGTTCTAAAGAATAGTTGTCTGCGAAAGACACGTTTTGTAAGAAGTTGCTTTTTATAGTGTCCAAGAAAGTATCAATTTTCGAGTCAGGAGGCCATTGTGCAGTCGAGAAGATCATGTCAAATGTAGTACGATCACACGCCGGAGGGCAGTGTTCATCGCAGTCCAGTTCGTGTTTTAGGAATAGATTTTCGACCTCAGTTTCACATTTGAAATCAGAAAATGTCTCACACAACGACAGATTTTCATTTGTTTTTGTTGTTGTCCTATCCACATTTAAAATGTCATAGTAGTCACATGGTAGCACTGCATTACAGCATTCACACTTTTCATACACGGCCATCTGATAACAGGATTTCATGCATGCATTTTGTGTGTACGTCTTTTTTTGGTAGAAACTACGCCGGGTCCTGCTTTGTCCGTCTGCACTGACACAGTTACTATACGGTGATGGCAGTCGTTGTGTTATTTCCTGCAATAAATGATACAGGTGATACAATAGATTATAATCAATGCACATTCAACTATTAGGTCCATAAGTGATAGAATCCCTTCCTCGGTAAATTATGCAGCCTCTAGCGGTTGACAAACACCAGTTTGTTTTGTCTTTGGTTTCTTGCAAAGTGCTATTGTCCAGCCTCATCCATTTAATATGCAGTTTCTTGCAGTCTGGTCATGGCTCTTCTGCTCTCCATGATAGCCTTACCTGCAAACCTCTCAGCCTGCTTATCTCCTTGCACGCCTGTGTGTCCTGGCACCAAAATGAAACTGATATGTGACCGCCATGACAGCCTCAGAGACTCCAACAACTGTCTTTGGACCCAGCCCATCTCTATCTTCATGAACATACGCATTGAGTCACTGACTGACTGACTTTCTACCCCACAAGGAAATCACACAAGCGATAAACACCAGATGACACAATGTGCCGCCATGTGGGTGAGGATCACCGTGGAGAGGTCACAGAAATTGTGTTCAGCCTTTAGGCCATATTTATGGCCTGACTATATTGCGGCCTCTGGCAAGAGCCAGAGTAGGGCTTACTGAATGGAGTCACTGAGAAAGCATGCCCGGGTAAAGATCTGTATTTTTATCCATGTTACCAAAAGAACTAAGCTTTACTCTGTCGTTTGCACGGATAAGTATGAGGCCATGGGCATTTACCGCTCAGATGGGAGGTAGAGCTATGAAGGAAAATTCTTTCTACCTCACCGGAACATAATGTCACCATTCGGATGAGGATCACCCTTGGAGAGGTCCCAGAAACCCCGTTTAACCTTTAGGTTATATTAGGGCCCCTGGCAACAGTCGGAGAGGGTTTAAAAATAACGAATAATTCATTCCACATAGGGAGTAGGTTATATTCTGGTATGCTTTTGCCTTTACTACAAGTAGTCTGACTACGGATGTCAATATAGTCCCTCAGGCATTGATTTGGCTGGAGACACACTTTTATTTATTGCATGGCAAATTTTCTTGTATCTCTCTAATTGAATTACTACTACAAAGTTGAATCAACATATTATGACGCACAACAATATTTTTGTTGTTGTTGTTGTTGTTGTGTGAAATACAAAATCCTATTGTCATTCTCAAGTTAGGTTGTATATTTCTGGGTAATTCAAGATCACCATGACTACCATGGTAACTTCAAATTTATCATGTGATTTTTCTTGTTTACAGAAAACATCAGAATACTTTTGTGTCAATACGGTCCTTTTGAAAAACAAACACGAAAGTAGGTAAAGATGTTTTACAAGCACAGGATAAGTTTTTTTTTACAGTTAATTATAAATAGCTACTAATTTGGGGGGAGGGGGGGGCGGGGGTGTTGGTGAGGAAGGGGAGAAGAATAGACATTCATCATCTTACTCTTCATAATCATATTCTTCTTCTTTTTCTTCTTCTTCTTCTTCTTCTTCTTCTTCTTCTTCTTCTTCTTCTTCTTCTTCTTCTTCTTCTTCTTCTTCTTCTTCTTCTTCTTCTTCTTCTTCTTCTTCTTCTTCTTCTTCTAATTTCCCACTGAAACTAAAGCCCTGAACAACTGATGCTAAGGCCTTCTGAAAATATCGCGTTCAAGTTGCTAACCACAACACCACCTGTCAGTTACCCTTTTAAAGGGCAAGGACAGAAGAAGTTGGAAGTAATAGGGAGTTATTTTTGTGAGGACAGTAAATTACTTTACAAGAAGACATTCAAATGACATCAAGTGACCTGTTTAATCCCAATCCTGGTCATGGCACCTGGCTGAGCTAGAATCCCGCCATCTTCAGGTAATGGGATTTCGTCCTGTGGGTGTACAATGACATTCAGCCCAGCTAAAGAAGTTGTAGGCAGATATTCGTATTGCTCGATGTTGAGCTCCAGTATCAAGCCATTTCTTGGACCGGATCTTGTTACGTAGCTGCAATCAAACACGAATCATGTGTATAAGGCATGTTGTCTGTATTATTGCTTGCAAAAAACAAAAACAAAATGCAGACAATGTGGTATAATAATTGGTACTGTGGAGTAAAGGTGGTTTGTATGCTAATGGCCAAATTATCTATCGAATACCAATTAAAATATTTAAAATAAAACATTAGATGGTACAGCGTATTCATTATTCCGCATTGAAAACACTCGTTTAAATTTTTTTCTTTTCTTTTTTCTGAAAGTGGGCGCTTCTGTGGGACTATCATTGAGATCCTGGCCTTAAGTAGAAACGCTGTTATATAGTAAACGGAATTTTGAGGTTTGCTGCTATTCGAGCTAGAAGTCGCCGTAGTGCAGCTGGTAAACGCTTACCCGCTGATTAGAAGGTCGTGAGTTCGAGTCCTGACAGATCCAGACATTTTTTCAAACATGACCTTGGCTCCTAGGTCGACCCAGCCTTGAGTGGGTATCATGAGCAGTTCTGGAAAGTAAGGGCGGCCGATGTGATGCTGACCATATCGCCCACTAAGGGTAGGTTGGTCTATGAAATATAGTTCTAGCCATATATGCCCCATACACCTGAAGGAGAGAAAAAAATCCTTTTCTTTTTATTGACTATTTGAATTACGCCACTAGTATTGACTCTGTGAGTTACTGCAGCTTAACGTTTTGGAAGGCGAGGGGGGAAAGAAAAAATGAAGGTGGGGGGGGGGGGGGGGGACTGAGGCAGTGGTGGTGGAGAATTTGAGAATGCCTGTAAATAAGTGAAATTATATCGGATGTTAAGGGGCTAGTGTAAGGAGTTTGAGAAATTACGCAGAAGCTAAAATTATCAGCGGTGTCAATTTTAATATTTCAAATTTTTCTTTTTTTTTTTTCAGGAGGAAGAAAATATTATAAGGAAGGGTATATGAAAGAAAGATTGCGACAAAACCGCAAAACACTAGGCAGCAAATAAAAATAATAAACATGTTAACTACTATAAGATAAAAGAAAGTAACAGATGGCCAGGACAAGGAGGAGGACGAAGAGTAGGACAGGAGAAAGGAGAATTTAAGGAGTGGAAGAAAATGATAGGAAGAGGAAGAAGATTATGATAATAATAAAAATTTGGATTATGACAAAGAAATTACATTAATCAGCACATACCGGAGACGTGTGTCCTCGATGTTAAAGGTGTAGCATGTGCCATGTCTTACTGTGTTCGTATGTGAGAAATTGGTCTCTAAACAAGGCTGCTGAAATTTTTTTTAAATGTTGAAATTATATACACACATCTACATATGACGATCGAAAATGAAGAAATACAAAATGTCACAAATTTCGAATACTTGGGCTCTTTAGTGAACAACGGTGGCGACTGCTCGAAAGAACTCAGAAGAAGACGTGCATTAGTAATGCAGTGATTAAACAGAATGGCAAACCTATAGCAAAGCACCTGTAAATTAGTTAGAGCAAAAATCTTGAGATCATGAATTTGTCAGGTGGGAACTAACGGTTGTGAATCCTGGACTCTCACTCAGTCACTGGAGAGAAAAACTGGAGCTTTTGAATTAAAACGTTACCGAAAAATTCTCAGAATATCATGGATCAAGAAAAGGAATCACATCAACATTCTACACGAGTTAAACAACAACATTCTACACGAGTTAAACAACAACATTCTACACGAGTTAAACATTAACATTCTACACGAGTTAAACATCAACATTCTACACGAGTTAAACATCAACATTCTACACGAGTTAAACATCAACATTCTACGCGAGTTAAACATCAACATTCTACACGAGTTAAACATCCAGGAGAACTGTCCCAAAATTTGAAGTATTTTGGCCACATCAAAGGTCATGGTCGCTTGGACAAGACGGTGATGGGGGGTGCAGTTTGTGGAAAGCAAGACAGGAGCTGACCTCCGCGAATATAAATACAGGACATTGAAGATACATTGGCATTGAAAGCACATGGGGTTGGAGAGCTGGCTGGGGAAAAGGACATTTTCAGGCGTGACGTGAAGAGAGCGACGTTCTGTAAAGGATTTGTTGATTAATGATAAAATTGGAAGATCTAAGTTTTGCAGATAATATTGCTTGACCGAGGGTGAACATAAATGACATGCACCAAATCAGATTAAAATTGGGCTACAAATAAATTGATTTCATTTGATTTGATTCAAGAACCGACCCCACAGCACTCGGGGATTTCCCATAAGCGATCCGTCCCCATCTTCAGCAGCCAGCGAAAAGTTCCGATACTAATGGTGCCAGTAGCATTCTGATTAAACGTCCGTTTTGCTTTTCCTCTGAGCCTCGAGCATCTGCCAGAACCTCTCGTCACTCCCCGCTGCATCAGTCTCACCAGACTGTGGTGATCCATCTGCTCCGCCGAACTGTACACGCTCTCACACAAGGCACTGACTACGTCTGCCTTATCATGTACCAGTATTCCACCAAGTTGTGCAGAGCCAGCCAGTCTGTCCGCCTGTTCATTTCCCAACACACCGGCTTGCTCCGGTGAAAAAATCTAGACAATACTCCTTACCCATGTCCTCTGCGGCGAAGCATGCCACTCTGCACGAAGTATACCTGTTCTTAACTTCATCAGCATGCTTTCTGAGTAAGTTACAATCACGATGGGTGTGTGTCGTGTTCTCTGGCCAAACTTAAAGCTGCAGTGACCGCCTCCACCTCATTTCTTAAGCTGGATGTTGTGGTATCATATGCTAGGCTCTCCTGCACCAAACGTCGACTATCAACTTTTGCTAAGAAGCCCCAAGCACTTCTTTTACCTCTTGACACTGAACCGTGTGTGTAAATGATCAAAACCTCTGAGCGAGCATTATCTTAAATTAATTGCTGAATTTTCATCACTGTATGTCCTCTCAAAGGCATTCCTGCCCCTCTGCCTGTACCACTTCCACTCCTTCTCTGCCACAGGCGAATCACTCAGTCTAAAAAACTCAACTAACATAAATTTCTCACAGTATATTTTCAGAAAGATTAATACGACCGAACCCACCAAAGGCCACCCGACGCTCCGAGGCAAACCAGCTAAAGGGCATAGCACAAGAAGGGGACCAGCACTCGTGGATTTCAGTCTGTTATGCATTTCATTTTGTAAACTCCCCCGCCCCTCCCACATATGTTTCAATGTTAATCAACTTATTTTCAGCTAAAAACCGAGGAAACCCACCAAAGGCCACCCGGCGCTCCGAGGCAAACCAGCTAAAAGGGCATTGCACAATAAGGGGACCAGCACTTGTGGAATTCCAGGCTACTACGCTTCTCTGATAACCTCACCCGTCCCCTCCCACATATATCTAAAATGTAAATCAGTCTATTACATTTTGCAGACCTCCTACTCTGTCGACAACTTCGAAATGAAACCTGGCCTCAAGAGCAAAGTGTGCAGAGCAAGCTACGGGGAACCGTGAAGGACTTGCCGCTGGCATAGGAGTTCATAGAGGCAACCCACCTGAATGTCTGACACGAGCATACAAAACCAAATGCTAAGAAAAAGAAAGAGATCATAAACTTCAAGCGTTTATTTAACTACAAAAGACAACGCTACTATGACAGTGATTACAGTTAGAAAAATCAAAAGAGGACCAATCTAAACAGTAACCAGTATATGGTTTTAAATGTGAATGAACAGCAGAACGGGGGCAAATATTTTCATACAACAGTAGACACATGTAAAAGAATTCGCAATTTTTTAAGAACCATTGAAGGCAATGGATGGAGAGCTCATGAAGTAGAGCTAAGTACAGCAGCGGTAAATCTGAGAAGGTAGCAGGCAGTTTCAGACTGTACACAGTCATGTCATCCAGCATGTGACGATATTAACACCAATACAAAAAAGTCTAAGGCGGGGCCAATAAGAAACGTTCTTAGGCCAGTAGGATGTGATGCTGCAGTAGAAATTAAAACTAATAAGTAACTAACGAGGACACCTGAACTGGGTAAGAGATATAGATCTCAGATGAAAACACCATGGGAATTGAAACCATCATATGAAGACATGAGCCTGACAAAACAGGTTTCATACAACACTGATCCACTACAAGTAAGGAACATAGCAGAGGAGCACATTAGAAACATTGAAACTAATAACCTGATAATATGCACTGATGGATCCAAAATTAAGCAGGGGGTTTATATTCCTTATTTAAAAATACAGAAGTCTGATTAAATGTTAGATCAAAGGTCGGTTTTCACAGCCGAACTAATCAGCATAATGAAAGCCTTTCATGTCATAGTCATCAGGAAGCAGGTCCTTTGAAGAACGGTTTGATTGAAAAATAATTCGATCTGTTGCCAGCGCTCCAGTCTCGTGTACTTTCATATTCAAGAAGTCACTTATATCATCTGCCCATCTTCGTGTTGCTCGGCCCCTGCCCCTCCTTCCTATTAACATGCCTTCTGTTATTATTTCTTCCAATCTACCACAACACCTAATATGACCAAAATATTTTAGTTTCCGAGACAAGATGCTTGCTGTTTATTAGCCGAACCTCTTTGATGTTCAGATCTTTTAAAAGATTGAAATATGCCTTGAAGATAGCAGCTAAACACACACCACCACCCCAACCCAACCCCCTTTTTTTTCTAAATTGACAATAATGGCCGATTCTTTTTCATCGGTACAATCACTAGGTAGGTCAGACATGAAAGAGGAGATATAACACTAACCACACAACTGAGGAACAACGGATGCCAGATCACAATAGCATGGGTTCAGTGCATAAAGGCATAGTCGTTATTGAAATGACGGACATTTTTGCAATAGTAACAGGATTAGGAAAGAAAGGGAGGGCAAGAGTCAAATCAAACGCTATATTATAGGAAAGTGGAAGAGACAGCATGAAATTAATACGACAGGCAGAAGGACATGCCAATATTTGCCAGAACCCGTCTTGATATCACAAGTCTCAGATAGCTTAACAATTCCAGCTAGTTACAAAAATTGGAGATTTAGGCTTGGATTCTGGAAAGCCAAATTTACAGCACCCTTATGCTTAGATAGATTTCATCAAAAAAACAATAGACCACTTCCTGCTAACATGCACCCTATAAAGGAAGAACAAAATAACATGGAAAACTATTTTCATAAATTGAATAAGCCACTGACATCCAAGGAATGCTTACATGTTGATAGTAATAAGAACATACAGAAACAAATGAAGAAATTTTTTTGCAGGACACAAATATATAAGTCTGTATAAATGAAAAGATTATAAGACAGGGATAGTAATGTTAGAAAAAAGGAAATGAAGAAGATAGGGGAAAAAAAAGACAAGCAATTAAATTGTGTGAAACAACCTAAACAGGCCAAAACTGCCTATCTAATTATAGTAGAGGATACTGAGGTTTGAGGTTTGAACACTAGATCAACATCATGGCACACGGGTAGTAACCCATAAGTGCTTCGTTTTTCTTCTAACTCAAGTCTGAGTCCGAAAAAAAAAAATCAGCACAGTGCACGGGCTCTGTAGCCCCGACAAGGATCCTGAAATACTATGGGTAGATTTTTAATGCCAAATTTTGCCTTGGAAACGCCGTTAGGCTACTCTTTTCGATTTCTAACTGCCAAGAGGTTGTTTTGTTTACATGCGCAACAATGCACACGGGCGTCCGATCTCACAACTCATAAACCAGGGGGAATTCATAGAAGTCTAAGTCTACGTGAAAAAAATCCCAGCCCATACCGAGGATTAAACCCGGAACCTCTAGCACTCGAGGCGGATTCAAAGCCTTGAGACCAGGCAGCTCCTCAGTGGATACTGAGACAGTGTCGCATATACAAACCGAAAGACCTAAATTAGTAAACAAGGCACAAATAAAAAATAATGGACAAAACTGTAGGCTATATCATATACAACAAAACTGTAGGGTATATCATATACAACAAAACTGTAGGCTATATCATATACAACAAAACTGTAGGCTATATCATATACAACAAAACTGTAGGCTATATCATATACAACAAAACTGTAGGCTATATCATATACAACAAAACTAGGACCCATTTAAGACTGGATCGACTTGGAGGCTCAGGATATTTAAAAAACATGTCCTCTCCGTCGTGAACTGAACCCATTACCTTCCGATCTGTAAACTCTGATAATCTGATAATCTGATAATCTGATAATCTGGTAATCTTAGTTTCAGCGTCATAGCAAACGGGTCACCCCATAGTGCCAAGGAAAAACACATAAAATGTTTATCACAGTTCAAATTCAATCCGCAGCACACAGTGTTACACCATGCACTCAACCCAAACACTTGGCAACGAAAACTGGACGCTCTACTGGGCGTATGTGTGTATAATATATTCATGTGTGTATATGCAAAAATGTATACATGCATTCTCACCTGGGCGTGCACACCTCGTGTGTGTATATATATGCGTGTGCGTGTGTGTGTGTTTGTGTGTGTGTGTGTAAATAAATAAAGTAGTACATGTATGCCTATATGTGTATGTGTGTGTGGGTATATGTATGGTGTATACCACCACCTCCCATAAACAACAAATACAGCTATTTGAGTACTGGTCTGAGATACTGGTTTTGCTGGAATTACCACTTCTTAACCAACATATAGGCACACAGAAACCAGACAACAAGTATAGCCGATACTGCTCGCAGTAATTTGAACGTCGTCGGAATTTACAGCCGGTGAATGTGAAGAAGAGCAACCTAAGATTGTGAACCTCCAACAAGTTGCAGTTTTTATCTACCCACACCACAGTAGTACCGTACTCACTTTGTTAAACGTACACTTGATCAGCATGTCCTGTATCTGATGTCCTGATTGGTTGCCATGCTGATGGCTTCGCATCAGGGTTTTCATAACAGCTTCACCTTCAGCCTCATCTGTAAGCTGAAATAAAAAATAAAAACTATAGTGTAAGTAAATGACCCTTGTCCGTCCATACCTTCAGGTGTATTGTGCTTATAGGACTAGACCTATATTTTATAGACCAATTTTTTTTTTCCTATTTAGTATCTAGAAACCATGAGTTGTAAACCCTTTGGCTTGGTACTAAGCATATCGCAACCTTTCGTCCTTGATTCAATTATAGTTACAGTAAATCTAGGAGAAATGTGGCTTTTCTGCATCCCCGGACTACAAGGAGTTCGTCAACCTGTCGCCGCGCAGAGGGTTTTAACCAACTGAGGGGGGTCCAGGAAGCCAAAGTGATTTTTTAAGAAGAAAAAAAGTCCGGGAAATACTATGAGGGGAATATAATATATAAATATATTTCTATTGATAAAACTGGCACATGACCGTTAACCTTTTCGGCCTTCGAAATATAATATTTCGACACGTTATGTCCTAAGATGCTATTTCAACTACTTGCTGTTTGAAACTCATGGAGTCAAACTTACAAAGCGAGTGTGTACACACGCACATGCACACAAACCAACACACACACACACACACACACACACACACACACACGCACACACAGAAGCAGGCACATCATGAGCCAGAAAATGTAGCGTAACAACTGAGGTAAACTGGGTTCATATAACACTTGATGAGTGGATTCATATACAAACTTGATGGGACACATAAGGTAAGAGTTGAGTTGATCTGAAAACTGCCACCTCAGCACTAGAGACATTCACATACGTGTTCAGTCCGTATCTTCAGCTGTTAGCGAAGAGTTTCAATGCCGAAGGCACCAGTGAGTTTTACTCACAAACACACACGCATATATATATATATATATATATATATATATATATATATATATATATATATATATATATATATATATATGTGTGTGTGTGTGTGTGTGTGTATATATATTTATACTAGCTTTGCCGGCCACGCGCTGCTGTGGCCCTGAATGGTGAAATGGAAAAGAAAGAAAATAGCTCTTAGCTAACAGTGTCTGTCAACCCTCACCCCTCTTCCCTCCCCCCCCCCCTTCCCTAAATAATATTTCCCTCTCCGAAGGAATGAAAAATCATCACTTGACGAAATTATTAAAATAGAAATAGTTGAGAAATGATAACTTAAAAATAATGTTTTAAGCTCTCTCTGATAACAGTGTCTGGGATCAACAACCCCACCCCCCACTAATCATATTTATATACTATAAAAATGAAATAAATATACACATGATAAGTTGATTAGGACTGAAAGGCTAACAATATGCGTTAGTTAGGATGGCAGTTAATGCCGTGAATGTTGCGAAATTAATCGTCACTTAACACTAGATTCAGCAGTCAGGACCCCATCACGCCCGCCCGACCCCCCCCCCCTCCCACCTCAGTTCCAGCTCTCCCCCCCCCCCCCCAATCCCCCAAACACACAAAAATGTATAATTAGTTAACCTCTGTCAGGAAGTCACCGTGGAGTCGCGGCTAGACGCTCGACTGTGCATCCAAAGGTCGTGGGTTCGGATATGGACGAAGCCGGATTGTTTTCAAAAATGACCTTTGCTCCCAGATCGACCCAGTCTTGAGCGGGTACCAGATGCAGGCCTGGGATGTCAAGGCGGGCGCCTTGACACTGACCACATCACCCACCAAATTCCGATTGGTCTTTAAAATATGACTATTCCTATATGCCCAATTCGCCCGAAGGTGTAGAAAAGGGTCCATGACATTTTGTATTAGGCAACTATTGTCAACAGTTGACTTTATTTTATGTGCTATCAACCATTTGTAATAAACAGGGATTGTGGCTTGAAAAAATAAAGCCCTGACAGACAGACAGACAGACAGACAATATAAACAAGTCCTGACAGACAGACAATACAAAAAAGCCCTGACAGACAAACAGACAATACAAAAAGCCCTGACAGACAGACAATCAGACAGACAGACAATAGGAAAAGCCATGACAGACAGACAATACACAAAAACCCTGACAGACAGACAGACAGACTGACTGACAGACAGACAGACAATACTATTACCTTTGCCATCTCTGTCATAGTCATCATCAGATACGGATCGATCATTGACTTCTTCTTCTGATTCAAGTTGCAAAATGTGACCGCTGGAAAGATTGCCGTAGTTTCTTGTTTGAGGGTGACCACGGTCATCACCGGATAACTATAGAAGTCCTCCATTGTAATCACAAACTGATAGACTGCAAATGCTACACCAAACAGAAACAACACTGACCACACGCATCGTTTCCGCTTGCTGCTGGCTGTGAGCACTTTATTGATGCCATGCATGGACGTGCTGCCACCAAACTCCTCATACAACTTCTTCAACGAGTTTGTTTCTGACGCTGATGTTTCACGTGCTTCCATCTTTCAACTGAACGAAAGCAAATGTGCGAAAATATGTCTCTTCTTCTTCAATTGTTCAGCTTTGCTTCGGATAAAAATTTGTCGTACTATTTGTTCACATCCAGATTTTCAAAGCTACTGTTTCTAGAGCATTAGTTTGCTTTCTTGTAACTGTGAAGAAACAAATGAATTTATTAACTGAATTGAGTTTAAAGAGGACAAGATGAAACACGTTCATTAAATGCGTCACATTTTTAGCCACGATTTTTAGGTGTGCAGGGTAATGAGCAAACTAATAAATTAGCTGTTGAATTCCCTCAGTGCGATGAGCTACTTTTTGATAAAGCCAGCATGGTAAGCTTTCTCTATCTCTCTCTCTCTCTCTCTCTCTCTCTCTCTCTCTCTCTCTATCTCTCTCTCTCTCTCTCTCTCTCTCTCTCTCTCTCTCTCTCTCTCTCTGCATGTGTGTGTGATTGTGTGTGTATGCATGTGGATATATGAAAGTATATTTAGGTATGTATGTATGTGTGTAAAGATGTGAGTTTAGGTATAAATGTGTGGATATATGTATGCATGTGTGTGGGTGTATGTATTCATGTAAGTGTAAATGTGTGGTTTTGGGCATATGTTGGTGTCTGTACATGTAATGGTATATGTGTGTATGCATAGGTGCATGTATAGATGTGTATATATGGAATGCGTGTGTGCATGTATATCCATAAATGTATGTGTGTGTGTTTTCTGTTTGTGCATTTATTTCTGTGTATGTGTATGCTTGTATATGTATGTAGATGCAGGTGTGTATGTATCACGTATGTCTGTATATGAGTTCACCTGTATGAAAATGTAGATGTATGTATACGTGTGTGTGAGTGTGTATGATGGCGTACACACGATGTGTGTATGCATTATATATTTGTTTTTAAATCCATAACATGCATTATTGATAACAGGTATTAGTACTCTGAAAAATGAGTACTTAGAAGGGCCGAATGTCAGACGGGCCTGCGTGCCCAATTTGTAACCCTTTGAAAATAAAGTTTGTTCGCTCGTTCGTTCGTTCGTTCGTTCTCTACGATCAAGTAAATAATCTTGCTTCCTCACAATCTGCGATCCGCAGCTGCGTGTAGCAGTGTGTGTCTTGACACCCCTCCAAGAAATGACACAAGACTGTCAATGTTTTCACGCTGTCTTCCTCTGTCTTCCTCTGTCTTCCTCTGTCTTCCTCTGTCTTCCTCTGTCTCCCTCATTTCAACAGACCTTTTCCAGTGGTTGCAACATGTTCCAGTTTTTATCTTCTCGTAACGGGAAGAAAAAATGATGACTGTCTCTTTCTGATGTTTGTGATACCTTGGCTTGGAGCCCTAGTCTCTAAAATAAAAATAAACATAATTAGGCTAGTGAAATCACAAGCAGCTACAAAAAGTTGAGTTTGGTTCTGCAATGTCCTGTAAATTCCAGAGAAATTTGACTAAAAAGCTCAACAAAAATGGGGAAGCAGAAAAACGGGCACAAAACAACACATCGTAACGTTTCGACCGGGCGGCCTTTTTCAAAAATAAGTGAACTACACAAACGTAACAACGAGGAGATGAGAGTATGTAGATCTCTAGGGGTGACGTGAGCAACATTTAAAAAAATGTGGTGTGGAATAAATGAGATAAAATAAAACAAACGATAGCTAAAAAATATAGAAACAAAACATAATAAACAGTGGTATTGTTAATATATAATATAATACTGGGAATAACATAAATGCAAATGTTAATGATATATATAAATGATACTGAATGATAAAAAATATAATAAAGTAATGATATGAAATAAAATAAAAGAGAAGATAATAAAATAATTAACATTTAAATAGTCATAAGAGTAGAACTATTTAGATGAAGGTATGTTGGATATTGATACCACCTGGACTGAGAACGCCTAAGCTGTGGATGAGGCGATTTTCTAAAGCGAGGCGCGTAGTTTGATCACCAGAGCAAGATTTTAATGCTGTGACAGATATATCATCTTTACCTTTGTGGTCAGAGCTATTAAAATGGAGAGGGATTGGTTTACGGTCTTTTTGTCAAAATCAAAGATATAGTTGGAGCTTTAAATAATTTAAAAGTTGAAAATGGTCCTTCAGTTACTTTACTTTTACACAAGAAGATCATTTTTCGATCGAGTTCCGTGCACCGGTTGTTTTGTTTTTTTCCCTTACGTCTCTGTCTGTCTCGACAGAACGGCTAGTCAATTGATAAGAACGTACCCTAAGTATGAACGCTGTAACTCCAGCGACGATCTCAGCGGATCATATAAACAATTGCACGCTGAACTGAAATGCACGTTCGAATAATGAAATTCTTCTCCATATCCCTAGTTAGTTAACTCAAATAATTTTTCCTGTCTTCCTCCGGGATTAAGTATCTATGACAATGTCCTCACAGTGACAGCTCGATCAAGGAATACCGCCAGCAACTTTCCCTAGCAGGGCGAGAGGAGGACCAGCGCAAATATTTATTTTCCTAGGAAGACGAGGTCGCCGTCTGTGGTTTGGACGCTTGCACTGCGCTCACTCACCACTGCAAGCGATTTGACAGAAGACCGCCTTGCATTGGTTTCGACAGCGGTATCAAGAGCGGATTGTTTAGATACGCAATGGCAAACTACTGAAGGTGTATTTGCCTTTAAAAAAAATCACAAAAGCGACAACAATCAGAACCCAAAAAAAATGCTGGCGTTGATTCTGCAGCGTCCAGTAAACGGCTAACTTAGTAAGACGAGAAAACCAGCGAAAACGAAATTGAGCGACCGACTCACAACTTGAACCAGCATGGGCACTCACTTGTGTCGAATACAAGCAAGGTAGTGATCAGATCAATCAATTTATGTTGGTGTAAGAAGTAGGGGAAAATCAATAGTATCATACACTCAAATCTAGAAGATTAAATTTTAATGATATCATTACATGATCGTAGAGGCGTGAATTGTTCAAATGCGTCGACACCGCCGTAATCAGGCAGAATAAATTGTTAGCACTTGAGAATTCTTGTTTCCAGAAAACCTATCTATAATATCATTCACACAAGCGTGCGCGGACACACACAAACACACACATACACACACACACACACACACACACACACACACACACAAACACACACACACACACTTTTAGAGTAACGAGACTAATGGACAGATATAGTAAAAGAAAACTGCGAATAAATCCATTTTAAAAAAAATAGGATAAGAATTTCCTTCATCATGCCGAAGATTCGAACACGGAAGTTATAAATATAGACATATTTAGACACAAATACTTACAAATAACAATACTCACTTCTCATATATCTTCTTCTTCTTCTTTGCGTTCTTCTTCTTCTTCTTCACTTCCTCTTTTACCGCTGTGGGTGTCGAGGGAGATATTAGGTTCTGTTTCTAGCTCTTCTGGCTGCCTCGACCATAGGCTCATCGTGCTGTTGTAGAGTTTCTCTGATGTTATCCTTCCATCTTGTTTTTGGTCTACCCCGTGCTCTACGTCCTTCTTCTCTTCCCATGTATGCTTTGTATGGTATGGTGTCACAAGGCATTCTCTCTAAGTGGGCTCAGTCCGTTTATATCTCATTTTGATTTTTGTAGCAGTAAAAAATCCATTGCCGGCTTGCTAGGCCTGTCGCAACTTCACCAGAGCCCCGTTGGCCAGGACGTTTCGGGGTGACCCAGGGTGGCCTTCATGGCTACCGTAGCGGTCCCGTGGCACGAGGCCACACCATACTTCGCCCACACCTAGCAATCCCCTACTTTGTCCTGTTACCACCTCTCACGACGAGGACGTGGGGTTGGTCTTTGAGAGGCTCTTTGCGTTCACCAGCTGTAAACTTTGGCGGAAAGTTTTGGTTGTTCGTCCACTTCTGGACTGCACTCCGGTTCCAGAATCGGAATGGTGCGTGTGCATCAGTTTGACAGATCTGACTCATTTGTGTGCAGACTGTTGGTTCCTTGCCTCTCTGGCAGATGCACTCCGACTTCGAAGAAAGCTTCCAATTAGTCTACTCTTACGACATGCTTTTGGATAGGCAGTGGGTCTATTCTTGTTTTTCCCATAATAGGGCCCCGGAACCCACACGGGGAACTTCTCATATATAAAACCAGTATAGCTAGTAATTGAGTAGAGTAAAGAAAAATCTTGCACTCCTTTAAGCCTATTGGGCACATAGGGCTAGACATAAACCATTTGGCTGTGGTTGCGTAATAGGGTCAGCATCACACCGGCTGCCTTTACTTACTAGAACTCCACCTGGTACCCATTCAAGGCTGGGTCGACCTCAGAGCCACAATCGACCTCAGAGCCACAATCGACCTCAGAGCCACAATCGACCTCAGAGCCACAATCGACCTCAGAGCCACAATCGACCTCAATGCCACAATCGACCTAAGAGCCACAATCGACCTCAGAGCCACAATCGACCTCAGAGCCACAATCGACCTCAGAGCCACAATCGACCTCAGAGCCACAATCGACCTCAGAGCCACAATCGACCTCAATGCCACAATCGACCTCAGAGCCACAATCGACCTCAGAGCCACAATCGACCTCAATGCCACAATCGACCTCAGAGCCACAATCGACCTCAGAGCCACAATCGACCTCAGAGCCACAATCGACCTCAGAGCCACAATCGACCTCAGAGCCACAATCGACCTCAGAGCCACAATCGACCTCAATGCCACAATCGACCTCAGAGCCACAATCGACCTCAGAGCCACAATCGACCTCAATGCCACAATCGACCTCAGAGCCACAATCGACCTCAGAGCCACAATCGACCTCAGAGCCACAATCGACCTCAGAGCCACAATCGACCTCAGAGCCACAATCGACCTCAGAGCCACAATCGACCTCAGAGCCAAGATTAATTCTTTTTAAAGGGTCATTACTCCAGGACCACCTGAACCAACGACCTTCTGATTCGTAGGCGAGCCTCGGTCAGCTACACCATGGCGGCTCCACAGTAGAGTCATATTTTAAT